GTAAGAAATGTACGCATTATCCTGCCCATGTAATTGTAACCCCTCTGTACAGTATGTTCACAAATAAAATAAAATTAAATTTAAAAAAAGTCACCTTTCCAGTGAATGGGCTGTGTGTCAGCCCCCTACCCCAACCCTGGGGATAATAAATTAAGAAGGAAGGGAGACAGTCTCTACAACAGAATCATAAGTCACGTAATTCCAGGTTATATGACAGGTGCCAAGATGCAGTAAACACGTGCAAATATAATTTGCTATTTGGAAGTGTCCCTTGCAACATCTGCGGGAAGAAATGACTTCACAAACAATATAGTCCAAGATGCGATTTGCATCCATATTTGATAGGTGAGGAAACTGAATCTATGTAAAGCTAAGTCACTTGCCAAAAGTTACACAGAGGGACAACTGGGTTTCAAATATACATCCAAGCTGGGCCTGGTACAAGCCTGAAATCCAAGCTACTCTGGAGGAGGCAGAGACTGAGACTAGAGGACAGAGTTGGAGGTCAGCTCTTGGAAAGGGAAGGTAGCAGTAAAACAGCCAGCCCCTATATCAAAAACAAAATACAGAAACTCTAGCAGCATGGCTCAAGGTGTAAAGAGAAGGCCTTGGCTTCAATCCCCACTGCAAAAACAAAAACAAAATTCACTGACTACAGAGCCAGTGACATTTGAAGAGTCCCCTTCTGACAAAGGGTGAACAACTGCAGCAGTGGTACTCGCTGGACACCACAGCTTGTAGATCAAAGAGAAGGATAAACAGGAAGTGAGGCAAGAGGTGAGATTGTTTTTTAAAAAATTGTACCCATTACCTGACTTATGTAACTGTAACCCTTCTGTATATCACCTTCATAATTACAATAAAAATATTAAAAAGTTAATTGAGAGTAAAAACAGAGGCAAATTAAAAAAAAAAAAAAGGAGTCCTCTTTCTCTCCATCCCTGGAAGTAAGGCCTTGAGAACAACAATAATGTCTGGCCCATTTAAAAAACCCTTCTACAGTTCCTACCATTATCACTCAAGAATTTGAGCTTACTTTGGAGTGAGGGTGTGGCCCATTTAGAATGAATGCCAGCTGCAAACCTAGCCATAAATGAGCTAAAAGCACTCAGCTACCACCTGTGTTTGTCCACCACCCACCTGGCTGGACATAGTGAGCTTTACTGCTGACAGCATCAGGACACAGAGCCTCAGGAGCCACAGACGAAGCCTCCCCTTGTGCAGGGCCTTTCCAGAGCTGCCTCCCTCTGCCAGGTATAGTTTTCTCACCCTTCTGCTCATCATCCTAGGGCACAGGTGTGAAGCACGTAGAGGTAGGTCCTCGGGGGCAGCTGTAGCCCTAGAAGAGGCCTAAGGAGCAGTGCATTGTGTTCCTTGGCTCTACCTCACCCAATACCCTGGCATTTGATAGCTTCAGCTGCATTAGCCAGCTCAAATCAAGGTGAGTCTTGCCTCTAATTGTTACACTGATGATTGTGAAGTCAGCTCATTGCACCCCCATCCCACCCACACTAAGGGTGGGCCCGCTGCCCCCCACAGTTTCTTTCTGCTTCCTGTCAGCTGGGTTGTCCTGCATGCTGAAGGCTGTGGTCCCCAACAAAGCAGATGGCATCCGAGGCGCTCTATAAAGTGGGGGATGGGGAGGAGGCCATAATGAAGAAGGAAACCCTCAATGTCGTAAATGCACTAGAACAACTGCCAAAACCCTTTCCAAATCCTAAGTTCATGAAACGGACCGTCGCTACCAAAGGACTCCCGCTTTCCTCAAGAGGCAGTTTGGTTAACTTATTGGAGCAAGATAACATCAATTTCGAGTAAGATACAAATAAAGTGTAGTCCCTCCCTCCTTTCTAAGGCTCAAGCCAAGGGGTTGGGCCAGGGAAAAAGGCTTGGAGGAGGGTCTTAGAATACCCTCTGTACTCTCCGGGAGGAACAGGTGTACAGGTTGGACCTGTGGTGTACTCCCAAATCAGTTCTTAGACCACGTGGGCTGCCAATATCAGGAGACCTTAGGGAATTAGGGAGAGAGTTTCTTTTTTAAATTATCTTTGTTAGGTAGTTGTATAAAGGGGTTTCAATTCCAGACCTCAGGTTATGAGTAGTACAATGCTTATTGATCAATATCACCCTTTCATTGTTGTCCCCCTGTTCCCCCATCCCAACCCTCAGTTACATAGTTCAGTGTTTTTATATAGTGTACACTGAATATAACGACTGCATTTGATCTCCCTTCTTCCCTACATTCCTGTGTCCATCTCTCCCTTGTCCTCCCCTCAGAATGTTTCAGCTTCCTGGTTTTCAAATGAGTTAGACCCTTGAACTTCTAAGTATACTGTCCTTCAGTCAGTTTGTTTGTATATGCATACAGCCCTGTATATATCATATAGGTTTGTATTTTAGAACTAACTTCCACATGTGAGACAAAACATGAGCAATCTGTATCTCAGAGATTCAATTTTGTTTGTTTTTTGGGTCCGGTCATGGGGCCTGAACTCTGGGCCTGGGCACTGTCCCTCAGCTCTTCAGCTCAAGGCTAGCACTCTACCACTTGAGCCACAGCACCACTTCTGGCTTTTTGCTTATGTGGTGCTGAGGAATCGAACCCAGGGCCTCAAGCATGCAAGGCAAGTGTTCTACCACTGAGCCACCTTCCCAGCCCCTCAGAGATACAATTTAACACAATTGAGATTGAGGCTTGAGGTCTTTTCTGCCCAATCTGGCTGCAAACTAACATCCTCAGATTTCAGCCTCCTGAGTAAATGGTATTACAGATGTGAGCCACCAGTGCCTAGTCCTCTGAGACATTTCAGTTGTGTGTGGATGTAAGCATATAGCAACTAGCCTTGGACTAAGCATTTCTTCCTTTGCATCGTTTATATTTTTTTTAAAAAGAATTGTATTGATGCGCCTCATCTGTGTAAAATGTTTAACTAGTGGGAAATTGTGTGCATTTTTTCTTTGCAACAGCAAATTCATGCAAAGGAAAAATATAAAGTAGTTAAAATGGTGAAACCCTGACAGAACTAGTGCTAGATATGTCGATATAGATGAATCAGAACAACAATGAGAGACAAGAAGCAAGCTGCAGATGGAGATGTACTGGATAATACCTTTTATTTATGGATTGTCTGAAGCCACACAAAACAATAGATCTTGTCTAGGCTTAACATACATATGTAACAGACATAAAAAGAAACACAGTGAATGATGAATAGAAAAATTTAAAACACTCTATTACCTCTGAAGGGAGGATGTTTGTTGTGGCAAAGAAGAGTAATGTCCAGAGGGGTCAAGCTATGCTAAGTGGGTTTTATTTCTGAAGCAGCAGGAGAAGTAAATGGAAGCTTAATATATTATTCTTGGTGTATAGATCTAAAATGTTTCATAGTTACAAAAAAAACAGACTGGAATAAAAAAGTTTTGAGCATTCATCTGATTAAACATATTGTATATAACCTAGACAATTAAATTATATATACATAATTATATATTAAATTATATATTTACATATATTTTATATAATCTACAATTAAATTTACATGCTGTGTATTGTTAGGTGTTATTAAAGTGCAAACATTAATTACATTAAACATTAAATGGTAAATACTGTTCATTACTTAGATATTTGTAGATATTATTCCACATTCCTGGGGCATTTGCACCCCACTTTGGAAGAATAACTTAAAAGTTTTAGTAGCCTCTCAAATTGTGACTCTCAGAACATCCACATCAAAGTCCATCTAAAGATCTTATTTAAAATGTAGCTTCTGCTGGGCGCCAGTGGCTCAAGCCTATAATCCTATCTACTCAGGAGGCTGAGAACTGAGGACTGCGGTTTGAAGCTGGCTCAGGTAGAACAGTCTCTGTGAGACTCTTGTCTCCAATAAACTACTTAAAAACGGGAAGTGGCACTGTGGCTCAACTGTAGAGCGCTAACCTTAAGCACAAAGAGTCTCAGCACCTAGGCCAAGAGTTCAAGCTGAGGGGACTGGAGGGAAAAATGCCCCTTTCTCAGCCAGGTATGGTGGTACACACATGCCTATAATCTTAGAAGGCCAAGATTAGGAGGTTCTAGGCCAGCCTGGACAAAAAAGTTAACAAGATTCCCATCTCAACCAACAAGGGGACGTGGTGGTACCCATCTGCAGATACACAGAAAGTGTAGGTAAAAGGATTGCAGTCTGCGACTGACCTGGATAGGTTTGGCTGAGGCAGACCCCCAGGTGAGCTTGGAGTACAGTACTCAGGTTGGATGGGTTTGGGCAGCAGCCTTCAGCTCATCCCACCACCCTCTCCCTCCTGATCCAGGAAGACAATGCCATTGGAGGATTCTGAGTGCAGCTCCGACGACACCAGCGTGTCCCCCATCTCATCCACCTTGTTGAATCCCATCAAATTGGCCGTGACACAACCCAACAGCAGCTTCTTCGCAGGGATGCTGGAGGGTGAGCTGAACAAGCTCAGTTTTACCACAATGATCAAGAACACAGATAAAGAACTGGCTCTCTGCCCCAGCTCATCCAAGTCCCAAATGGCCACCAAGGGTCTGCTGGACCTTGACAACCCTGCGCTGGACTCAGATACATCCTCAACACGCTCTGAATCCTCTGTGGTCCTGGACGTGCCAGAGGCCCCTTTCATCTGTGAGCACACCGTCAGCGACTCTACAGCTGTGGTGCGTTTCCCTGCCGCCGCTGGTGTGCATCTGGCCAAAGCTGTGTCAGCGGCGAGCTGAGTGGGGAGTGTGAAGATGCTAGCCCTGCAGCCCGATCTCAAGGTCATGGTTTAGGAAGGGAGCGAGGGAGGGCACGCCTGTAGAGAACTCCAGTGCCAGACAGAAAGGGGCTCAGAGCTTTCCGGGTCCATGAGGGAGATTCAGATAGGGGAGATTCGTTAGGGTATCAGAGGAAAAGGAAAGATTAGTTCTAGCTTCAGGAATGAGCATGGAGGCTTTTTAGTAACTTTGAGCTGGGATCCAGAGGTAGGATCTAAACATCTAGAGATAGAGGAAAATTCCCTGGATGGCTGACCACTTTCAGGAAAGGCTTACCACTGGAAGGGCAGAAGATGGACTTTCTCACACTGCCTACTGTATTCTTACAGATTGAAATCTACCTTCCTGGGCCTCCTCCCTAAAGGGTCTGGAGGTAGCCTGGGAATGTGCAGTGTCAACAAGTTCCTGGGTGATACTGAAGTGGTACTTTGGGGACCCACATGTTCAGGAGCACTGTCCTGGAGGATGGAGGGCAGGACAGGGAAGAAGTTAGTATGTAGTTATTTCCTGGTGGCCTTCCAACATTGGGCTTTTCTGTAAGCAGTAAGGTACATCTTTGAACACAGCATTGTGTGTCAAGAGGCCATCTATGTCAATAGACATAGTTGGTTTTTTTTTTCCCTAGTGCAGGGATGGAACCCAGGGCTTCAGAGCACCAGCTAAGCAAGGGCCTATCACTGAGCTACATCCCCAGGCCTGGTAGAGGTAATTTGACTTGCAGTTTAGGGAAGTAACTCTAGAAGCTCCATTGTTGGATAGGCCACACAATTGTGGTCTCCAGATGGACAGCCTCAGTATCTGTCAAATGCCAACTCATTACAGAGATTTAAATTCCCACTCAGGCCCCAGTGGCTCCCATCTATAATCCTAGTTACTCAGTAGGCTGAGATCTAAGGGTCAAGGTTTGAAACTAGCCCAGGCAGACAAATCTGAGACTCATATTTCTGATTAACTATCAAAAAGCTGGAATAGCCGGGCGCTGGTGGCTCACGCCTGTAATCCTAGCTACTCAGGAGGCTGAGATCTGAGGATCGCGGTTCAAAGCCAGCCCGGGCAGGAGACCTTGAGACTCCTATCTCCAATAAACCACCAGAAAACCGGAAGTGGTGCTGTAGCTCAAGTGGTAGAGCACTCGCCTTGAGCTGAAGAGCTGAGGGACAGCGCCCAGGCCCAGAGTTCAAGCCCCACGACCGACAAAAAACAAAAAAGCTGGAACAGGAGGTGTAGCTCAAGTGACAGAGCACCAGCCTTGTGGAAAAAAAGGCCTTGGGCTCAAGTGTCAGTGATGGAAAGGAAAGGAGGGAGGGAAGGGGGATGGAAGAAGTAAGGAAGGAAAGGAGGAAGGTTGATTTAGAGGAAGGAGAAACTGGAAATGGGAGTTCAGACAGAAGACAGTGGGCTCAGGAATCTGCAGTATTGTGAAAACTCCAAGGTGCTTAGGTAGCCTGGGCAACCACTGTTGTGGGTAGAAGAGCTTGGGGTTTGGAACTTGGACCTTCAGGGCAGGTGTCTGCACACAGTGTGCCTTCTTTCAAACATGCCTGAGCTCCAGGTGGGATGGGCATGGGAGGAGCACTGTGACTCTGGTCAGGACAGGCCAGGTCTGAGGAAGCCTCCGGCTCTCTCCTCCCCTAGATTTCCTGGACCTATTCCTTGGGCAAACAGCAGGTCAGTTTCTACCAGGTCCTGTTACAGGAGATGACCAAGAAAAAAGAAGAGTCATCATCCAAGGGCAAGAACCGTCCATGGATCTTCAACAAGATCTTGGGTACCACGGTCAAGCTGATGGAGCTGAAGCCTAATACGAGTTACTGCCTCACTGTCCGTGCAGCCAACACAGCTGGGGTGGGGAAGTGGTGCAAGCCCTACAAGGTGAGCTGGGGAGGCAGGTGTCAGGGAGAGATCTGACCCAGGGACCCCCCGCCCCCCCCCACCCATGTCCCTGGTAGCCTTCCTCTGTCAGGGCCAACAGGCATTAACTATGCTACAATCTGGAGATTTAAGGATTAAGACACAGCTGGGGCCCACCAAGAAGTTTGACAATATTCACACTACAAAGCTCCTGGTCTGTGGGAGTGGTAGTCCTGGACACAGCTGGGGTTTGTGTCATGCCTCTTTGGATCTATTTCCTGCTAGGTGCTATGTAGGATAAGGCCAAGATGCCACTTTGCAGACAAAAAAGGGGGAGACAGATGGTGAAGAGAGCCAGACACAGGGTAGGAAGGTATTCTGAGAGGTTTTCTTGTCTCATTTCAGTTTGCAACTGTGGCCACTGACTTCAACAGCTTCCCTGAGTGCAACCCCATCCAGATCACCGTGCAGCGCAAGGAACCTCAGCGAAGAACAGTGTCCATTGGGCTGGAGGACATGCGAAGGCTGGAGGATCTGGAATACCTATTTCCTTACTAAGGGGAGGGCCCAGGACACCCATCATCTTGCCATCAGCCTTGGCCCAGGGCCCTCAGGGACCAAAATCATGAGATGTACCACTAGCACCATGCCAGAGAACCACTGATTACCCTGTCAGCCCAGGGCATGGCCTGGAGGCAGGGATCTGGGATTCTCACTCCTGGGCTGGGGCCAAAGCTAGATAGATGGGAGTCTCACTCCCTGAAAGACATCTCATGCCAGGCCAGGCTCAGCCACTGCCCACAGCTGCTAGGCTTCCTCTTCCCCCAGACCTGGGCTGGGTCCAGGTCCCTCATTAAAGAACTGCAGGTAGTCCAACACCTCTTAGTTCTGTTTCATGCTGAGGTCAACCTCAGCTGGGCTAGCAACATCCACTTCTTAGATTCAGCCAAGTACAAATGAATAAGGGGCTAGGAGCCAGGGTAGCTGGCAATGGGAGGGTCCCATTCTTCACCTGTTTATGTGTGAAGACTGTTACTCTTCACGAGTGTCCACAGTAACTGGACAGCCAGGAATGGTCAGTGCTGGACCTGGGCAGGGTCTGGCTATATCCATAAGGACCCAGGCAGCCATTTCAGCACCACCAGCTCAGGTGGCTCATCCAAAGTAGGGCGTAGTCATCTAGAAACCAGTGCAGTTTCTAGGACAATGGGAACATCAAGCCAAGTAAGGTGATGGACAGAATTGCAAAAGCATAGCTGGGTGGAACAGTAGAAAAGGACCAGATACTGGCCATTGCTCCAATGATGCAGTACCTACCCTGAGCAGACATACTGTGTGTGGGGATGAGCAGGAATGTAGAGGGAGCATGGAGATATAATCTTGGTCAAAACCTCAGGAGGTCCGGCTGGGGATTACTTTTACTACCCTGTAATACACTTCACAGGGCTACCTGTACCTCTGCTGTCCTGTACAAGTCCTCCAGGACAGTCAAGGCCTTCCTCTCTGGCCCAAAAGCACAATACTTGGGGTCCAGCAGGAGACACCCTGAGAGGTGGATGGGCTGGTGGAACTCTGGCTATATAGAATCCTCATTGTTATCAACAGATCCATGTGGCCGGTGCCAACGTTTGTCACTGGCCTCTCTCTACAGATCCAGGGGCAAGAGGGAAGGGCAATTTCCTGTCATGCAATCCAAGAGAGGGGCCTAGGTTCTATAAGGAATTACAATCTGAACACATAAAAATAAGTTATTTATTTGGCCATAGAGCCTGGATCTGACTGAGCCTGAACCAAGCTGACACTTGGAAGAGGAGGTAGGGGCAGCAGCGGAGGCTGCACAGGGGGCCTGGCCTCCCTACCACTGCCAACACCACCAGGAACAGAGCAGTGCCCATGGGGCCGAGTTCAGCAATAACTTCTAGCGCCTCCACACCACAGGCAGGGGTCCTTTGGGTAGGACACTGCTGCGGTCTGTCAGGAAGCCATGGGCACTGGCACCAGCCATTGTTTTCTGGCAGGGATGGAGTACAAGTGGGGGTTGGAGAACCGTGGGACTCTTCATCTCCGCCATCTGCAGGGAAGGAAGGGAATCAGAATGGGGATCTGAGGCTCTCTGACTTCTGGCCATGCAAATAGCTATATACTTGTAGCCTGACTCGGATGGGAGTTCCCCTAGGACAGCCCCAGGCATGCCCACTGCCAAGCAGGAGCAAGCAGTGCTTTGGCTGTGTGTTTGCTCGCCTTCTATCTACAAAGGTTTAGTAATTCCTGAGAGACACATTAACTAGGTTCTGTGACTGCAGAACCTGAGCCAAAGTGCAGGTCCCAGGACTTTATAGTTCAGTACTCTACCAAGAACTGTACTGTGTTAAGAGAGCACCCCAAGTGCCACCAGGATCTCCCACCACCCCCTAATTTCTGCAGGCCTTGGCTTGCTCAGTGAGAACATGGCGCCACACACCATGGAGAAAGAGGACAGTACTGTGAAGTCCCGAATGAAGTAAAGACAGGAGGGTCAAGTACCCCATCTGCCACCCCACTCACATCCGGAGACACTTGTCCTTCCCACCACTTGCCACTCTCTGGCCATCAGGACTCCAGTCCACGGCATATACCTAAACAAGAGGATGGGAAAGGAGTGGAGTGGTGAGGGCAGAAGGGCCAGGCACAATCCCAGCTCCCTCTGCCCCCTGGGCAGCCGTACCTCATCCGCATGGCCAGGCAGGTCTGTGGCCAGCTTCTGGGCCTTCACGTCCCACACCTTCAGGGTGCTGTCACTGCTGCCACTGACCAGTAGCCGGCTGTCGGCTGACCAAGCGATCTGGTACACGGCACCCACATGGCCACGTAGGGAAGCCAGGTACCTGGGCCATGGAAGATGACCACGGATATCAGACCTTCACACATACCCCCAACCCCTACCCCTGTGCTCCAATGTGGGCTGCCTACAAGAAAGAACTGCCTGGCCCCAGACCATTTTATTCATGACTGCTCACAACTAGTCTATAAAAGTCCTCCATATGAGTTGCTTCTAGGCTGCCTCTTGCCAGGCTTCCAGACCTGTATGACTCTGTGTACCTAAGTCCGTCGCAACCACCTGCCTGGCACATCTGTCTGATGTCTACCCACAGCAGTTTCTTACCACTGGGTGGTATGTGGTATGGGTCAGGCCCATCTGGAACTTTTAAACCAGTACAGGCTAGCTGGGGCTGTGTGCACCAGCCAGTGTTGTCTATGAGATGTAGTTTCCTTAGTTTATTTTGGTGCCAGTCCTGGGGCTTGAACTCAGGGCCTTGGTGCTGTCCCTGAGCCTTTTTGTTTGTTTTTGTCGGTCGTGGGGCCTGAACTCTGGGCCTGGGCGCTGTCCCTCAGCTCTTCAGCTCAAGGATAGTGCGCTACCACTTAAGCCATAGCACCACTTCCAGCTTTTTCTGCTTATGTGGTGCTGAGGAATCGAACCTAGGACCTCGTGCATGCAAGGCAAGCACTCTACCACTGAGCTCCTTCCCAGCCCCTCCCTGAGCTTTTTTGCTCAAGGCTAGCCCTCTACCACTTGAGCTACACCTCCGGTGGTTAGCTGCTGGAGGTGGGTCGCAGGGATTTTCTTGCCTTTAAACCATGATCCTCAGATCTCAGCCTTCTAAAAAGCTAGGATTATAGGCATGAGCCACTGGTGGCCAGCATCTTTATTTTAATAAAGTGAATTATCCATTTCAATGAGCTGTGGAATGCAAGTACACAGGGTGGCACATCAGTTTTCCCTGTTCCCTTTCTCTCCTGAATGTATGTCTTACCTCTCCCTCCAAGAGCCCCTAAGCACACTGTGCCCCCTTACAGCAGTTTCTCAGACTTAAGTGAGTAGCACCCTCTCAAGCTGGCTTACAGGTCTGCACTGGAGCCAGTTCCTCACTTCTTTCCAGCTCCCAGAGCATCATGCCAAGACCATGGGTGTGTGGACCACACTGACTGCACCCACCTATTGCTTCATCCTCTTTGGGCCCACTGCATCCCCATCCCTGCCTCTGCCATTAGCCTTAACATAATTTCTCTCTTGATGGAAAACAAATTAGCATTTTTAGTCCCCACTTAATGCTGAGGTAGGGGGTCTGCATATTGAAGAGGAAGTAGAAAATAGGGAAACCCAGGCCTTTTGCCAGGCTGTGGCAAGGCCGTGAGCGGCACTGCCAAGCTCCTTCTACTGTACACAGCTAAGAGCAAAACGGCCCCCCGCTCCTCAACTTACTTGCCCGTCCTGCCATCCCACAGCTTGATGGACTTGTCAAAGGAGGCACTGGCCACGATGCGGGAGTCAGGAGAAAACAGCACCTGGTTGATGAGGGCCTGATGTCCTGTCATCCGTGCGAGGGGCTTCTTGTCCTCTGCTGGGGACCACAGGAATAAGGTGAAGTCATCTGAGCCAGACACCAGCCTCTCTGGGCCTTGGCCCTGGGCAAGAAAGCACAGTGTGTTGGATGGGGTCAGACACTGACCATTACACCGGGGACAGAGGCCATGATTAGAGGAAGTGAGACCGAGCATGGCCACAAGCTCCCCCATGACAGCAGGCAACTAACTCACTGCCAAAATGAAAAGAAAATACTTTAAAGATAAAGCAAACCAGGCACCGGTGGCTCACACCTGTAATCCTAGCTACTCAGGAGGCTGAGATCTGAGGATCACAGTTCAAAACCAGGCTGGGCACAAAAGTCCATGAGACTCTTATCTCCAATAAACCACCCAGAAAACTGGAAGTAGCTCAAGTGGTAGAGCGCTTGCTTTGAGCTGAAGAGCTGAGGGACATCACCCAGGCCCAGAGTTCAACCCCCATGACTGACATTAAAAAAAAAAAGAAAAAGGGGGCTGGGAAGGTGGCTCAGTGGTAGAGCGCTTGCATTGCATGCATGAGGCCCTGGGTTCGATTCCTCAGCACCACATAAGCAAAAAGAAAAAAGCCGGAAGTGGTGCTGT